CTTTCTACTTCCGGTAATTTTTTTGCAGACGCTGCCCAAGGTGAGTTTTATTTTTTGAAAAATAAATTTGAAGTCATCGTTTTTGCACCTTTTAACTACATGCTTACATTGTAACACATTACTTGCTAACATTACCTGTTGTTAACTTTTGTTGATATTGGCTCTTTAAGTGGAAAAAAACACATTGTACATCTTACTTGTAAGTGTTATTAATGGATTGTGTCCCAAGATGCATTTGATTTTCATTTAAACCATGTTCAGAAATACCCGAAATAAATTTATTCATTTCGGGTATTTCTGAACAATTTTCTCTCACTTAATTCATCAAAATTTAAGAAGAACTTGTTTTAATATCTAAACAATAGGGGTAGGCCTTTCTTACTGTTTACATTTGTTCTTTTCGTTTTGTGACATTCTATTATTGATAATCATTTTAATAATATCATTTTTTTCTAGTTTCAAATGAAAATTTATATTTTAAGACAGCTCCTCCTAATTCAAATGAACAGATGTTTAGAGCGTAAGTTTTTCCCCCTATATTAAGCTGTTTTTCTGATTAAACTTTTTCAGATGAGTCGCCAAATTGGATCAAAGAAGTATCGTTCCTATACTGTTGACACATTGCAACATGCAGTGAACTTAATTCGGAGTAATTCTATGTCACTAAATCAGGCAGCTGCATCCTTTGGTATTCCAAAGAGCACTCTATCCGACAAAGTAAACCAGAAGACCGTTATTGGTTGTAAAAGCGGCCCAGCTACCATACTTACTGCAGAAGAAGAATCTACTCTTGTAGATTGGGCTCTACATATGGCCAAAGTTGGGTTTGGACGAACCCATAATGAATTGTTAGACACAGTAAAGGTTATACTGGATAAAGATGGTCGACCAAACCCACTCAAAAATAATCGGCCGGGAAAAGACTGGTATAATGCATTTGTTAAAAGGCATCCTCAATTAGGAGAACGAACACCAAAACAACTTGCTAAAGAACGAGCCATTATTACCCCAGCTAAGATTGAAAGCTGGTTTCAGGAATTCTGTTATTTTATGGCCGAGGAGGTATCTGATTCTTCCATATGGAACAATCCCGCTCGCTGGTTTAACGCAGACAAGTCGGGATTTCCATTGTGTCCAAAAAGTGGTAAAGTGTTGTCGCCAAGGGGTGTTCCGAATATATACAACTTCACTGCTTCTGATAAAACACAGGTAACTGTATTAGCATGCATGAGTGCGGCAGGTCACTTTGTAAAGCCTTTAATTGTTTATCCAGGTGTAAGGTTTAATTATAACCCGCTGGAAGGATCTGCTGACGCTGTCTTTGGTAGGACAGAGTCCGGATGGATGGACTCTGAACTTTTTGTTACATGGCTTACTGAGGTATTTGAACCTGCGCTGTCTGAAAGGGAAGTCAAAAGACCTGTGGTCTTGTTTGTAGATGGTCATTCTACACACTGCACATTAGAGGCCTCCAAGTTTTGTAGAGATCACGAAATAATCCTTTACTGTCTACTTGAGCAAGCGTCCCACCTGCTGCAACCTTGCGACCTGAAACTTTTCAGCTCACTGACAGATTCCTGGAAACAAGCAGTACGTGATTTCCAAATAGCCAACATAGGTGAATACGTCACAATACAAAAGTTTGCTGCCGTTTTAAGCATGCCTGGGAAAAGTCGACTACTGTTGACATAGCTGTAAAAGCCTTTCGTGACAGTGGACTTTTTCCAATGAACCCAAAGAAGGTTTTAGGTACTATTAAGATGGAACCAAGTACAATCTTTTCCAAGGCCAATACAACAGAAGCTGCAGCATCTTCCCAGGCAAATACAACAGAAAGTCCAGCACCTACAAATAGAGGTGACAGCACCTCTGACAAAGTTGACTCCGACAACCCACCTGAAACACTTGTGTCAGATAAAGGTAGCAGAAGTTGTACATCTTAATCTGAAAGTCATGTCACGCCTGCTTCTAATGCAGACAACATTCTTGCAAGCAGTTCCGTTGAGCGTGTTTCAGGTGAGAACTTACCTCAAGCAATTGCAACTATTATGTTGTCACCTTCTTAAAACGTATCACCAGCCTTCACAGATGTGTTGAAATTTCCAAAAGCAAAACAATCTGCTTGCAAAAGTAAACAAAAGCGAATACCACTCCCAAAAGCAATCTCTGGTAAAAAGTTTCATGATCTGCTTGAACAAAGAATTTAAACAGGAAGAAAATGCTAAAAAAGAAGCACGTAAAGTTAAAAGAGAGGAACGCAAGAAGGAGCGACAGGAGCAGCTGAAACAAAAGCAAAAGGATAAAGAAGAAAAGAAACTACAACGAGAACAGCAGAAGGAAGAACTAAAGAGAAAAAAATAAATTGAAAAATTAGAGCAAGAACTTAAAAAGAAACGGAAATCAAAGGATTCAGATATAGATAGTACAGATGAAGAAAATGAAGCTATTAAAATCTCCCTTGCTGATGACGAAATGGCCGATGTAGAAACAAGTTTTTCTACCACCAAATGCTATTCTTGTGACCAGGCATTTGATGGGGACTCCGAAAACTGGATAACATGTCACAAATGCCCACGTTGGTTACATACAGCTTGTGTGAAAACAATTAATTTGCTTTCATTGTCTGAATGTGAAATTGCAGATTTACAATTTGAATGTGACTACTGTTGAATTACAAAGTGAATTCTGAAAGACCCAGTTTTTCTTTTGCTTTATAAACTGTTATAAGCACAATTATGTTAACATGGCATGAACTGCATTGTGAAACGTTAGGATATGTTTCTGATACTTAATAGTTTAATAGTTACGTTTTAACTATTTTGAGTATTTAAATTTTATTTGAAAGTGTGTTTATTTTGATGAAATTTACCTGAATGTTTATTTTCAAATTTGGTTGTATTCACTATATGTTTAACGTAAAACCGTTTAAACTGAACGTATTTAGTGTTTGTGTTGTTTTTTTTAAAAATGTCAAAATTGTTCAGATTTACCCTCCGATGAGTTCAGAATCTCCCGACGTGTTCATAAATTACCTCCATCAAATGACATAATTTATCTTGTTGTACTGCTTTTGAATCTACAATGTATCATGATTTGTTCGAAATATCCCGCAGAAAAGTGAGTCCGTGTCATTTCTGACTACTTGAGAAGTTGCCAAGACAATCTGTTTTAGTTAGTTAACAGATTTTTGCTTAAGTGTTCAGAAATACCCGAACCCGCTCTAATAAAAAAAAAATTAATCAAACAAAAAATGTTGACATATTGTGATGTAATACCATTTTTATTCAAAAGTACCTGAAATTCAATGTCTTGAAAAAAAAAAGAGGATTCTTTTTTTTATACAAAAATGGTATAGTTACTTTTCTCTCCTTTCAAAAGATCAATTTCATTGTCAGTCACTTCTGGTAACTTTTCATGCACCTGATAATAAAATAGATTGACTGTACATAGACAAAAAAACTGTCTAATCAGCATAAAATGAAAGTCGACAGTTTAAATACATTACTAGTAAACATCTTTCCATGGTAATAACCCTGAAGGCAAAGTCAATACGTTTAATGAATTAACTTGCAACCAATCTAGACACTGCCAATACCTCTAACACTATTTTAGAAACCTGAAATGGAAATTAAAACCATCACTGAAATGTATGTCTTCTAAAACCTTCATAGAAACCCCCATACAGCTTTCCGTTCTTTACCTTCGGCAAAAAGTCTGGAACATTTTGGCAAAAATTAAGTTTCATAAATTTTTGGGTAATAGATTATACTCATGTGACCAGTGTATACCAAGATTGGCACATTTGTGATGCCTTAGCATGGTCTACAGAGTACTCTCTATTCAGTCTGTAGTTTTAAAAATGTTCCCTAAAAATGCTAAATGACTTTCCAGATTTTAAGATAATTAGCATGGTGAGCATTTAAAACACAGTATTTCGCAGGTCTTTACCTCATTTATAGGGTCATATTGCACTCATTCCAAATGCCAAATATGGACTTTTCCACCTCTCAAAGGAAACAACTAACAAGAGTAAATATTGATATACTTAACACTTGTCGACTTTCTTTAGAAATGATGAAAGTGTGAAAAAACTTACCTCATGTGGGATTCAAACTCAGACAAGCAATAAAGACAAAGCTATAGACCACTGAGCTAAAGAATTCATTCTAAGTCCCTAAACCAGCAGAATCCTTGTATATTGGATATGCCTAGTTTTGAATTGGAACAGTCCATTTTAAGAGTTTAAGGAATTTCATAAATAGGCTGGCAACAGTATACAGCCTAGTCGGACAGCACGGATGTGCAGGCTGGCCTGGCTCTATACTGGTGGCAACGGCTAATCACTTTTGGTTCTAGCAGGTTAAGGGTTTAATTATTTTGTCAAATTCCAGGCAATCTCACAAAGCTCTAAACTATTGCCAGATCAAATTTACGAAACCCCTTTTTATTATCAATGGACAGCTCTAAATTCATAGAAGGACCAGTCCACTACACAAAATCAGCAATGTCAGGTTTAAACTTACAGCAGTATCAGGTTTAAACTTAATACTATATAACATAAAATATAGGCAAAAAAGAAATACTCTATAATGGCCTTCTACCATTATCCACAATTATCCCATCTCAAAATTTCAACCACCTATCCAGAATAATGACTTCATAGTAAGCAGACTATTATCAATTATATTAAATGATTTTTATCAACCATTGCTGCCGGTCACAGCATGAGCTCGCCAACCCTACATTACCTTCGAATAACCAATATTATCACCATACCTAGAGGAAAAAATAAATTCACAAATATCAACAATTTACCTATATTTCGTTTTACAATTATTTTACGATTTAAAGCAAACAAATAATGAAAATGTCCTGTTTGAACTGCGTAAGCTGCGACCACAAAGTTAATATAACAAAATTTTTTTTTGCAAGACATGCTCCGTCAAGTTTTTACAGCACCGAGAGTGAGAGAGAGAATATATTAATTTTATAATAATTACCAATATCTCTGGTCCCAATATATCTATGTATATATACACCACACTCTCTGACTGCATGAAGTGTTCCGCTATCTGCAACTGTTATCTTTACTTTACTATCATATATGAGGAGATTACTACCTGTTATTCCAGTTTCACCAGGTTTAAATGTGACTTTTTCACATATAGCCGTTTCTGAATCTAGTAACTCTTACAACTATTTATCGGCAGATCGGAAGCTCGCCATTCAGTATAGCTGTATATGTGTGTAAAAGGGATAGCTTTTTTTCCAGAGTTTTTTTTTCTTTCCTAGATCTATATTATTATAGTATTTCTTATGGAAAAATAATTACTGCTACGGATGTTTCTACACCATTGGATTAACGCATTACAGTATTATATTTTTGTGCGAGAGAGTTTTGAGTGTGCAAAGTGATCAGTTTTTCTCCTATTGAAAAGTCTTAATATCAGCTAACTCAGTAGCAACTTTTCTGCAAAAAACTGCTTTTAAAAAAAAATCATCACAATTTACAGAGGATTACAGATTAACACAATCTGGATATCTGGATTTATTCGCACAGAAAAAATAAGAAGTGTTGTGTTTTTTTCCCCGCAATTAGGTTAAGTCGGGAAAATAAAGCATTTCTTTTCTTTTCCTAGGTTGTATTTTATTTGGATTAATTTTTACATTTGCAAACTATTGGGAGTACAACAATAGGAAGGTTCCAATAAAATCAAACATGAGGTAAGATTTCTTATAAAAAAACATTAAATTGTAATAAAAAAATATTTTTTTCCCCTTAAAATATATATTGATGCCAATAAAGTAAATTTTTCAATAGCTTTCCCTTTGGTTTCCTTTATTTTTATAGAAGACAAGATTCATTTACCAAAATATGTCAGCCATTGTGCTTTACATTCTATTATTCATCATGGCTATGACCAAATATTAAGTAGAAATATTCTTAATAAATTGAGACCATCTATCATATAAACAACTAGAACCTTTCCATTTCCTATATAACACACATACTAGAACTGTTATTAATGGCATATACCGCATTATCACAAAATCACCATTCCCCTATATTTCCCCCATAAAAAGGCATTTATCATGTGCCTCTAAGAGCTGTGCACACAAAAATTAATTCTCCAGGGAACATCTTTGATTTTCTTATCCTCCTATTTACAAAAATCTATCCATGGACATGCTCCAGAATACAGGATGGTGTTATAGAGCCCCCAGGTATAGTAAAAATGTGCCATCTTTGTCTTAAAATTTCCTGATTTATATTCTTATCTCCTACTTCAATGATGTGAACCAACTTATGCATTCAGAAATTTCCCCCCCTTAAAATCACAAGATTTGGTACCATTCTAAATATTATGTTATTTCATTGGTCAATTTCTGACGTAAAATAAACCAATCAGATGCTCTGATTTTAGGTTATGGTACATAAGATTTGAAACCTCTACTCATATCACTTTCAATCATTATCATCAAAATTATCAGCATCATCATCACCATCATTCATCATATCAAAATTATCATCATCAAAATCATCATCCGCATGACAAAAATTGATCAGGTTTCTTCACATTTATATCTTGATCTTGAACAATATCTTTTTTTTTCTTTCAAATGAAAAAATTAACAACAAAAAACATGTCATTAGTGGTAATTTTACAAAGAGAGATGTTTGATAAATTACTTGCGTAATGGGCTAGAACATTAGATGATTTATACATCATCGGATATATATTACATATACATTTGTATGTTATAATTATACAATCACTTCCATTTCATACCCCCCTCCCCCCACTCCCTTACATACATTCTCCCACCCTGAAGTTTATACCAGGCTCATATATTTACATCATTGAAGGCTTACTTTCCCCCCCGTTCTTCATGCATCACATTTACCAGCAAAAGAAAATCCACACAAATCATCGTAATATATTTTGTAAATATATTATATCGTCATAACAGCGATATAAAACACGGATTTAGTGACGTAAAACCTGGCTAATGTGCTAATAAATAATCACTTATAGCGCAAAAAAATCAAATGACGAAAGTGCTATTTTACATTTAGTCGACAATTTGTCAATTATGATTAAGATACGTTTTAAGAAAACATGCGAAGACGGAATCTTACGTCGAGAAAAAGAATTATGGCCGAAGGGATTAAATTGGTATGAATTTTTATCCATATAGGAAGTGACTGAAAAAATGCCACAATAACTCTGAAATAACTGTGCAGTCTTTGAATTGACAATGTTTCAAAAATCATTTCTTTAACCATTATTACCCTCCTGCATTTTAAAAATGACCTTTACTTGTTTTCAGTTTGGAACAGTCCACTAGCAATTTAATGGTTTCATTATCTAAAAATAGTAAAATTAAGCAAATAGCAGAAAAGAGACAACTGTATACAATGTACATGTATATCGGAATGGTCTGGTTCTATACTGGTGCTGTAATTCTAGTTACTTTAATCATTCCTGCTCAAAGGATCAATCACTGTCTGTGACAATATCAAATATTAGTTTGGTTAATTTAATAAACGCAGTTTTGACATGCCAAAATTACCTGTATCAGTTTCTTTTTTTCTCTCTCTCGTAACATTTCATTATTAATATTATACAAGACACAACACACTGGTATATAGATTATTGCAGGAAAACCTGTTACAGAAAAGTTAGCGCAGAATAAAAAGTCACTTGTGTTTCAAAATTTTAAATATTGACATAGTTGTGTTGCCTATTCAAAAACGTAATAACAGATATAGATTTTTCAAGTTTCATTTCCAATTCAGCCTTTTGTTATGAATGAATTGAGCTCGTTTTATCAGAGAGGTTGATTATTGAACAGCTGTTGAAGTATTAGTGTTTGTTTCCACTGGTTCCCGGTTTAGCTACATTTTTTCGAATTTCGGTCGGTAAGTTACATGTATTGTACATGTAGCAATTGTACTGGAAAAATTTATGTATGTCTTATTTTTTCTCGTGTCCAATTAAACTTTTACTTGAACCTGCCAAGATGTCTTTGTGATGACTGAAGGGGTTATGTTCCTACGGCTGGAAACATGAGAAATTTTGCAGACTGAATTCTTTAAAACATACGTTGTAGCATCTAAAGTCAACTTTTACTTTTCTGTACTTTAAATCATTCTGCAAAAGGTCAGATCTCCTAGCTTTGAGTTTAATTCTAAACAAAAATAAATAAATCAAAATTTTTGACTTAAAAAGTGTTAAAAAGTGCAACATCTCCCTTGTATCACATTGGCTTATTAGCAGTATTCATTTTTCAACACTAAAAGAAATACAATCAATGATTAGGAGGGACTAAAAAAACATTACAAATGAACAAGTTTTAGTAAAAGTATTGCTTGAATTTGAGGGAAATGATAAAAGAAGGTAACTTACTGAGAATATTGTCACTCAGTGCATAAACAGGTTAACTCCTATAAAATATATAAGGAGTGAACCCGTTACTGCACTAAGGTGACAATATGGACACAGAAAAGTATCACAATTATAATGCTAATGCTCAAGCAATCTAAGAAGAATGACAAGAATTTTTGTTTCCATCATAGTACTTAGATTTGCTTACATATGAGCCGCGTCACGACAAAACCAACATAGTGCGTTTGCGACCAGCATGGATCCAGACCAGCCTGTGCATCCGCACAGTCTGATCAGGATCCATGCTGTTTGCTTACAAACAGTATAACAAGTAGAGAAACTGATAGCAAACAGCATGGATCCTGATCAGACTGCGCGGATGCGCAGGCTGGTCTGGATCCATGCTGGTAGCAAACCCATTATGTTGGTTTTGTCGTGACGCGGCTCATATGTTACATGCATAATTGACTAAAAATTTGCTGAAATTGGCCTTTACTAGTACTAGTACTGTCATAGTAATTATAATTATATACTACATGAATACAGTGTATATATACATTTTAGGTCTATCAGTACAATCAATTAATCAAATCAATACATAATTATAACTACATTAAAGTCATAAATCAACAATTGTGTTTCACATATTGTAAACGAGCAATCAAATACGTTTCAGACAATTCCCTATAACGTGTACTTTGTAACAGCTGTTTAAAGCCAACTGTTTGTTTTCCACCGTTACACTAACATAAACTACTGTCCAACATATGTTATAACATTCCTTCTCCTCGCTTTGCTTTAGAAAATCCTACCTACGTATTCATTTTTGAATTATCATAAAGTATATGATATAAAGATATGAATGATTGACAAAAACGAAACAGAGATGAAATCTGCAGCAGGCTTTATATTTGTGGCGGCATTATTATTTTCACTCTTTAGAATATTCAGAAAATGTAGAGTGCAGTTATTTAAATGTTCCGCAACTGTGCTTTGTAAGAAGGGGTTGTTTCCTCATGGTCATTGTTGATATAATTACACCTGTGTACTGCTGAGCTGGATGTTTCCTTTCATTGTTACTATTTTGGGCATTTATGCTGATAGCAGCAAATATCACACTTGTCACTGGCTCGGTTACACTTGTCACTGGCTCAGCAAACGTTACACTTGTCACTGGCTCGGCAAACGTTACACTTGTCACTGGCTAAGCAAATGTTACACTTGTCAATGGCTAAGCAAATGTTACACTTGTCACTGGCTCGGCAAATGTTACACTTGTCAATGGCTAAGCAAATGTTACACTTGTCACTGGCTCGGCAAACATCACACTTGTCAATGGCTAAGCAAATGTTACACTTGTCAATGGCTAAGCAAATGTTACACTTGTCACTGGCTCGGCAAACGTTACACTTGTCACTGGCTCGGCAAACATCACACTTGTCAATGGCTAAGCAAATGTTACACTTGTCATTGGCTCATGAATGTAACACTTGTCAAGTTGTCATTGCATTGGTAAATGTTACACTTGCCACTGGCTTGGTAAATGTCACATTTGTCACTGACTCATTGAATGTCATACTTATCCATGATAGGTTCGTTGAATGTCAATCACACTAACCAAAGGCTCAGTGAATATCACACTAGCCAAGTTAATGTTACACTTGCCACTGTCTTGGTAAATGCTCCATTTGTAACTAGTTCAGTATATGCCAAACTGTCAGAGACTTGGTAAATGTCACACTTGCTGCTCACATGTTAAAATTCTACTTGATCAGTGAAAGTCACGATGTCCTTGTTTTGGATAACAATGAGTATTCAGTGTAACAAATTAAAGGCTTACAAACAGTCTTAGCTATATCATTTTCTTTTTCAATCAGTGATGCCAGGAGGTCATGAATCTTCTACACTCTATTTAGAAATGGTGTAAAAATGTTTGGTTAGAAACTTTGCTTGGTTAGTTAGTTACTTTTGAAAGATTATTTTTTAAAAAGCTCTTCTATTAAGTTTCATATTTTATTATCTAAACTGTTCCTTTAAAACTGAGTAGTAAACATTGTGAATTCAGCAGCAACAAAAACAACAACATGAACAAATTTGACCCTCTTAATTCTGACAACTGTCATGTTTTTCATCTATAACTTATATTTAAGCTCGATCAGATATGTACAGTTGGGAATAAAAGTCTACGGCTATGACTTATTGAATTTTATTATCAATATTTCATTTCTTTTGTCTCAAATTCAGAGATATTTTAAAATTTATCTTTCAAGGCTGATACAGCCAGCGTTTCTCATTATGATTGTAATAATGGAAGATTAAATTGGAAACC